GCAGAGTGAGTGATTAATCTGATATTATGCACACAATTTTTGGGTCTACACCAACATCAAATGAAACATAAGTCTCGTAAAATAATTTCTAGTCTTGCCATGTGGAGTCTCTATAAAGGATAATGAAAGGAAAATTAGAAAGCAAAAACGTTCATATTGTATGATTAATTCTTTAGACGTTAAAATACAGGCTTTAAAACAAACGTCTGTTACTAAGTAATCTGAGCTTATTAGACAAGAAGGATTGTTCCAAGTTTTCTCCAGGTTCAAATGCTGTAAAATGCATCTAGCCATTTGAATCGGATGACAAAATGCCTCTTAACTGCTGTTTGTAATTGGTATATTTGAACTTAAAATGTCGTGTAGAAACATAAATGTATGTAAAAAATTGCCAACTCGCTTTACAGACTGTAATTTGTCAATGTAATAGTCAACCAAGCAACAATCTCTTCATGGGGAGTTGGCTAATGAGTGTATACAACTGATTACATTCGCCAGACGAAATCGTATTTATCTCCGATTTATGTGAAGCAATTCTGTAAATACCTTGTCAAGACCTCATCATGAAATGATAATAAACACTTAATTTGGGGAAGTATTTAATCTGTTTGATTTATAGGACCTTTGTTGTAATCATCATAGGATGACATTATCCCTGAAGCGATGTGATAAAAGATTTTTTTAGAAATGTCCATTAATTGTATTCAAAGAGCAATAATATAATTAAACTAACGGTTTAGAAGTAAGTGCACATTTTGTTGCGTTCATTTTGATTATGATCCAGACCCACTGATATCATTTCAATTGCTGTTACTTGGTCCCAATCTATATTTTTCTTTCCATTCAACATTATATATCGTAATTACTCTATACATAATTTCTTTCAGTTAATTAGTATTTACTGCCCCAACGGTTGTTTCTTAATTAAAGCTTTCCGCCAGCCTTGCTTTTTATTTGTTACGTAAATATTATAATGCTGAAAATGTTGCTTGAATTATCTAATGTATCACAATGTACCACAAATACAAAAAGTTAGTCTATGTATAATTTAAATTGTAACTTATGTACTTATTTAGTTGTTTATAAATGTATACTCATTTCAATTAACTTTCACGGGAGGGAACTTTCTCTTGACGATGTATATTGTAATTATTATATCAACACGGAAATTGGTAAGCATATACATGCAAACTTACATTTGGTGAAAATAAAATAGTCAGAACTATCAAAAATAATCCCCAGCTTTTGGAAATAAAAAAAAATACTCTTGCACTTACATTAATCTATTCTTATCATACCAGCCCCTTCCAACAGAAAATGGGAAAAGATCTAACGTTAGCATGTAAACGTTAGATATAAGCTGGATCTTTGAACAACACCTCCTGTAAAGGGTGCCACAATTACCCTGCTTTTTCTACGATAATATAACAAGCCTCCCATCGAATTAAGAACGATCTTTTGAAAGGATTGGAAATAACAGAAATACAGGTTGATGTTAGCAATCAGAAACTAGACGAAAGATATGTCTTGTAGACGGGAAATCATCCATGATGCCAATATAAGGTGTGATGTTCTTACTTAAAAAGTTTACAAAAAGTGACATTAAGTCCATCCAAGTGAACATGTGAAAGTCGAAGTGGGTTTACATTTGTCATAACTCCTTTTTCTGTTCCAGTTTCAACTGTAACAGTTGATAAATTACCATTACAACAGTCAGTCATTTGAAATATATAATAAGTTCAGCTCGCTCAACTTGACAATGAAAACATGAGCATAATGTTACTTTAATTAATTAATATATTATAGTAATATTTCGCTTGTAGTTTTTTTTTTACTTTTTTACATAAATTTTAAATTTTTAATCTCTTAAGTCTTGTTAATTTGTAGATATACAGAGTTTGTGTGTGTGTATTTGCGTTTATTTATACTCGCCACCGGTTGCCCATATGGGCGAGCCCTCCAGAAGAGTATTAGTCATTTTATTTTTCGGAGGATAGTGCAATTACAGATACAGAAAGATGCCCCAATTCCAGAAGCTTCTCCTGGTTCTTTAGCGTGCCAAGTGTTTAAGCACCCATACACGGGACCTCGATTTAAAGTCTCATCCGAAAGACTGATTAGTAATTTTAGTTGGCCAGCCCGGGAATCGAACCCACAATGTCGAGATTACAAGTCTCGCGCTCTAACCGATTGAGCTATGCGGGCTGTTATACAGAGTTTATTATGACCAGAAGTATTTATAACCTCACGATAACACTGAACGTAATGGATGGTAAACCTATTATTACGCCGTGTTAAATTTACAATAGGAAATGAGCATTGAGGCAAGAGCTAGTATGGTTTGAAAAAGAGTTTCGAAATCGTTCGAATAAAAATGCAAAGTATAAAAAGCAGGCGTTTTAAAGACATATTTAAATGAATTTAACATCGTATCACTGTCACAGTGGTTTAATTGTGTTACTTAATCACAGTGAAAATAGCGCCTTCCGAATAGTTTCATGGAATCATATTAACAAGCTGTCACTACCTGTGTCATATTTCAGTTTTACCATTTGACTGTTTGGTAACCTTATAATTTTCTAATCTCTGTTAGGTGTCATAATAGCTGGCAAAATTATATTCCTTTGACTTAATTGTGAGATCTATTCCACATGTTCATAAAAGAAATAAAGACAACTAATCTCAGTTCATTATCTTTGGTATTGAGACTTAAGGTATTTAATTTGTAGATAACAAGTTTATTGTGACCAGAAGTATTTATACCACATAACTACGAATGTAATTGGATGGTAACTATTATACGCCGTTTAATAAATAGAAGGCTTGATCAGAGCTATATGTTTTGAAAAGAGTTTCGCAAATTTCGAATAAGAAGATAAGCAGGTTTTAAAGAATAATTAAAAATTTAACATCGTATACTGTCAAGTGGTTTAATGGTACTAATCACAGTAAAATAGCGCTTCGAAAAGTTCAAGAATAAATAAAAAGTATACCTGTCATATTCGTTACCCATGACTGTTGTCCTTCATTTTCTAATTGTAGGTGTAAAAGTGCAAATTCTAGTCCTGATTAATTGAGATCTATCACATTTCATAAGAATAAGACAACTAATCTGCAGTTATTTCTTTGGTAATTGAACTTAATATCTCTTTTACGACCACAGTCTGTGATAAACCGTGATTAACAAGTACAACATATTGCAATAAACACGTGTGTAATCCTGCACTTGACAAAAACAATAAGAAATATTAAACTCTAGCAAATCAATGTCACATGTTACAAACATTTTCAATTTAGGTATGAAATGTCAATATCCTGTTGTTTAGTAAACAAACGTTGATTTTTTGTATCAAAGATTTATCATAAATGTGTTTTGTCCATAAACTAAAATTAGTCCTTTTAGAATCATAATTTCGCCAAATACTGTGAATTAAAAAATTAGAATTCTTTAATCATACAAAATATTTGTTCTTACTTATGTTTCATTAAAACAAGCAAACTTATATCAACCTATAATAATGCATTCTTAGTTAAAATAGCATACGCATACTTAAAAAAATTATAATTAGTCTGTAGTAAGACAGTACATCAAATTGTACTCACTAGTTTGATACATTGCAAAACGCACTGAACTTAAAAAATATAATATATTGTTATGCTACCGAAGTTTTATCTTCGCAAATGATTATTCACATTAGCCGCACGATTTATAATTGAGTACTATATTGGCACAATGAATAAAAAAGACACACATTCATTCGGCAATCGTTTAATAAGTATCTTCTATTTCGTACATTTATATAACAAAGTTTTAAATTTTAGTCATATAATAATATAATGACTGATATGGTTAGTATATACAAAATGGGCACGTTAATATTATACAATTCAGACGTGTGAAAAAACCACAAGTATCCATCCTATTTACAAAAGAAATACAACATACACAGACATTACATCTGTAAATAACAATCTCACATAGTTTAAGGTTTTACATACCTTTCTTTTACCCTTAAAATGCTAAATATATCAAATGAATTTGTCGTCATTTTTAGCGGCAATTTCAAAATATGTACTGATTGAATAGCGCACAGTGCAAGCCATGATCAGAAGGTACGGATATGCCGGTCGTGTATGTATCAAAAGTTGTTGTCAGCAGGAAAGAGGTTAATTGCGTGTCATAAAAGGTCAAATCAAATTTGAAATTGTCAAAATACGGACTGTCGTTTAAAACATATTTAGAGCATAACTATGCTTCATCAATATTTGAACATATTTTGAAATGTTCCATATTTATTTTTATTTCTAAAAACATCATTTTAGCCAATAAATATATGTCATAATTATACTTTTTATCTAATATAAAGATTTTACAGGTAATATGTCTGCATATAAACCATTGTCTGTATATATAACCCGAGCCGCTAGGTGAACAAAACGTTTATAAACGACCAAACTGTATAACATCTAAACAATGTTTTATAACGAATTTATATATCAGCAAACATCCTGTGTTTCAGGCAAAATGAACAATAGTCCATAAATTGACAACAGCTGTATAACATTATATAAGCGTCCCGATCAACAAATAAAAAGCCACGTTACAATCGTGCATTATCATACAAAACTAACCATTTTCTTCTACATGTTAATAATGTTTAAAAAAATACAAACACACAGAAAAGTCGACCATACCAGGATTTAAACCCATGACCCTAGGTTTAAACGCAATTAGTAGTATAGACGCCTCTGCCTATACTACTGCAGTTAACAGTGCATTGTATATCTAGTCATTTAGATACTCTGTAACAGTGGACCATTTGGCGTACAACACATCAAACAAATACATGTACGATTTGCTGAAGAGAAATTAATCAATCCTATTTTCATATGTTGTACCAAAAACTATTTATATTTGTTTGTGTTTTAAATGTGACTAATCTAATACGGTTTTAGTGAGCAACCATTTATTTCTAAAGTTAAAGTATTGTTTTTTATGCAATCTAATTGCTTACGGCCTGGGTTGTTTGTAACTGCTTTCTTTAAGAAAAACAACAAAAATCTTATGCATAAAAATAGGTACGACAGGCATTTCATGGCTAAGCAAAATCACATAATAATAAACTACTTAATACAAATCATGAGACTACAGTTGTAATATTATTATATACATACATGTATTATCACAAATATACAGTAGCTATACATATATTTACTTAATTCTTTATATTGACAACACGCTTATGTTGTAATCAACACATCCATGTTGTGATATATCAGGAGAAGGACCAGCACCATTCACTGAATTCCATCCACTGAATAGATTTATAAAAGATAAACAGCATATTAATGTTATAATGACTAGTATGATTTTGTCAAAGAAAGGACAAAAATTAACGAAAGATAAACCAGGAAGAATGGCATTGAATGAACGCAATCTAAACACACAAATTAAGCTTATTATAAGCCTGGTCATAAATTTAGATGCTTATTTGGAATGCATAAAAAATAACAGCAAACAGTAAATTGATACAAGCAGTCCGTTATAACACCTTTGTCTAAATAATCATCATTACATTATGTAGGTAACTAAACAACTAACTATAAAAACTAACCAAAATTTTGAACAATAAAAACTGTGTTAAAACGGCATGTTCCTGATAATGAATAAAACTATACTTTTTATTTGTAAAAAGCTTTTACTTTTCTCTCCTGTTAAATCTTCCCGAGCCGCACTAATATATCTGAACCATTCTTTACCGTTTGGCCACAAATTAGCTTCGTTTTATGATTTAAATATAGCTGCAATCTCATTGATCCAAACAGTAGTCAACAGAACTTTTTATAGAATCATATTCTCTGAATGTAGTATCATATCAACTGACTGAATTTGATTTTCCCAGTCTAAATATAGATTGAGAGTCATATTCAATGACCATATATCGTAGACTATTTACGCGTGCTTATTAAAAAATAATTGTTGCATTTTGTTCTTTAAAGTATATTTCTAGATTAAAACATCATTAGTTTACTATTACAGTTAAAAGGAACAGCGCAGTGATAAGTATAAACATGAATTACTTTTGTCAGCTGTTGTTGCACTCCTTACACGTGCGTCCTTTTCCCCGCGCTTCAACGAAACAGGCAAAACTTGTCCATGTATAAAATTGTACCTTCTGTGATTTATTAGTTCGTATCGCCTATTTATATAATAAAACAATTATTGACTAATGTGCCAATGAATATGATGTTATATTCAATATGTCATCTGCCGGTGAATATCACATCATATTCAATGGTACACTAGTCAATAATTGTATAATATTGTATGGAAGACACAATTTTATCTTGTTTATGTTTTACTACTTTCTTGAAAATTCATTTTACAGTCCAAAAACTGCTATCGTCACGTGATTAGCATCAATCATGCTCTTAATGTATTAATAAAAACTATTTTTGCCCTTTTTTAGAGCAAAGACTGAATTTGAAAGAAAGGATTTTTAATTAATAAATTGTGATGCAACTCAAATCAACAATATCTCATAATTTATTTTTGCATACTTTCCCTTCATCCTTACACTTCTCTCCTAAACAGTAGATGTTATGTTTATAAGGTTAACAAAAGGATTTACTGGTTAACAAAAAAACGAGAAAACAACAACACTTAACATGTTCAAACATGTAAATTTCATCAAGATTAACATATATTGACATGAAATGGATGGGATAAAACTGGATAATCTAATACTTATAAAGCACTGTCATCTGTATCACGAACTACACCAACATAATATTTCCCGTCAAAAAATTTCGTTTTCAAGTTATGTTTATCACTGTTGTTTCTGGAGAGTAGAGGTGATTCCTCCACTGCCTGAGAATATGACGGACACCGTTTAGGGCTTGCCTCTGTGTAACACGGCGGAGGTTCAATTGTATTTAGTGTACTAACGTCTTTTGAATCAGTACTGTCAACTGATATTGCATTAGTGTAACTTGGTGAGCGACGGAATTGCGAACGTTTTTTGTCTAAATCCGATTTGTCTTTATTGTTTTCTCCGACAAGAGGAGGAGAAACTCTTCTTGGTCGCTCAAAAACACGATTTTGAATGTCACATGGTATTGAATTCCCCACATGATTATTTGCAGGTTGTCTTAATGAGTCGGGAGCCTCGTACAAAGGGCCCGAACTCTGATTAGAATTTTGAGCATTAGATGTTCCATTTAGAGTAGGAGATTTGTACTGGTCCTCGGAAGTAATGTCAATGCAAGGGTTAGTATATTCCTTACAAGAAGACTCATTTGGTCTGAAATGAAATAAATAGATGAATATTAATGTAAAAAATACATTATATACTAGCATTTTACTTTACCTATGATATAAACGATGATAATATCCAAATACATGCATTTAATGTAATTATTTTCTTTACAAAAACGAAACAGTCTACTTCTCATTTCGTAAATTGCACTATTTATCTATAAGTTTAGTCCAGTACCAGTTTCATTGAATTTAATTAAAAAGTAAAGAACATCTCTTACGCTAATTCATCCCTCAGTTGCTCAAGTTTAATTAGCGCCAAATCAAGTTCGTGTCGAACTTTCCATAGCTGTGTTTCACAAAGAGGGTCTTTGCACTTATGTCTTTTCTGATATTCAACAGCATCTAATACTGATTGTTCAAATGTTAATGATTTACCCATGCTCTGAAAAAGAAACAGTTCTTGTTTATTTGTTAGATATATCATTTAGTAAGTTTATAGTTTATACGTTTGATCAAAAGAGAATGTACACGACCATTTTACAAGACAAAATGAATACTCTTATTTTTGTTATAAATTAAATGATCGATAAAAAAGACCAGTCTATATAAGGAATGCAACAATTTATGCTTGTTAGTATACAAACATTTAGTTTATCCAAACGTATAGTGCAGTTGCTATCTTTATGCTATTCTAATAACTTACAAGACTAACAAGTGCACAACAGCCAGTTTTGTCGTATTTCTTTAAACATCTTCTTCCAAATTTAAAGTAAAAATGTTCCAATAACATTAATATAGTTGCCAAAGTCACTCCAGCAGCAAGTAAGATAAAAGCACTGGTAAAGTTAAGTATTCCAATTTGCTGACTCGTCTTATCCTTCTTATCTTTCATGGCATGACATGCACCGGCTAGCCAAAACTTCTGTAATCTGTCGAGTTCTCCTGTAATACGCAAAATATAGATTACGCTGTTAAAATCATAGTAAACGAAAACATAACATTAAATTTCATAAAGTAACATCACATTAAAATTTCTACTCCAACACAAAAAACATTCAACTACTGGTTTGATTTTTTTTATAATCGAAAACGCCCAAATTGAAAAAGAATTGATATAAAAAGATGATAACATTCAAAATCAAAAACTATAATTTATTTGTGCTGTACAATAGTTTGGAGACTTTTCTATCTGTTGAAAATGTGTCAAGAGTTTGGGGTTTACTTATTGTGAAGACAAAGAAATGGATAACGACAGAAAAGTCATATTCAGCTGCCCCTTCTGTGGTTTCCTTCTTCTTTGTTTTCATATTGTGACGATAAGGAACGTGTTAATATTTTTTTCCTATGATAAAAAAGAAAACGAAATCAACCCACTCGGAAATCGGATTTATACTTTGGGCTAGGACCCTCGTATAAATCAGATAGCCTAGTATGCCGATGCTATTTCTATAATTTAAAATACTACTTTCACATAACTTCAGGCAAAGGTAAAGATTAATAACATTAAACAAAACATAATCTGTTGTTTTCTTTTTTGATTAGGAATGTTCATGAATGTTCCTGAAAAGGACTTTAAATATTTAAATACCGTTATTTTGTAGCTCCAGTATGATTGTGTTGACTTCCTCGATGTATGGAGAACCTTTAGGAAATCCAACTCCGTATCCTGTCATAGCATACCATTTACCAACAGTTATCAAATTGCATTCTTTATCTTTGCCGGCTAGATATTCAAGAACAGTTGCGTCATATATAAATGCATGTATATCACTGAAAATAAAACAAAAATCTCTCTAAATAATAGATTCAAGAAAGAACGAATTACAATGTAATGTGTTATCGTAAATTTATAATTATAAATACATACAAATAATTATAATTCATATACTGTCAGGGGCAAGTCGTTGTTTCCTTGCATTTTAGCAAAAAAACTTTACACTCATTGCTCAGTAATGGTTGGTTCCAGGAATGGATTCGAGAGTGTGTCTTAAAGCTTTTAGCGTCCTACACACCGAACTTAAATAAAATCTGTTGAAACCAAATAATTATAATTAATATTAAAGCTAAGGTTACACCAACTGTTATGACATTACTGTTGAAAATAACACTTTATTCTAAAAAATATTTGAACATTGAAAACTAAATGAAGTACCACGTTTCCTTACCCAACTTTTAGTGCATGTATTCCTTCTGATACTTCAGTTTTGTTGTATTGTTGCATATATCGGTGCATCCTTGGATAGTTCTTTCTCAGGTTATCTTCAGTGCTACCACCAGGCTTTGTTGCAAATTTGAAGTGTGGAGTCACCGATGTCGGTTTCATTAACTATATGAACAAAAAGTTGTTAATAGTTATTTTCATTTGTCAGTCATTCTTAACGAAATTGACATTACGTTTTTCACAAATACAAAGTAAAATTAGGTAACATTTACTTGTGTACAGTGTATTTACTTGTTGAATTATAAATCTTCTATATGAAGATAAGGTTCCATCAAAATTTAAAACATTTCAGTTTATCCATACTGAAAGTTTACGTTCATATATTTTTAAAGTTGTGTCATTTATTAATATTTACACTAGAAAGAATATCCTCTAATTTCCCTATAAAGTAATGAAACAAATGTATATAAATGGAGTACTAACCCGCCAATCCTCTATACCACTAAGGTCATAATATTCTTCGATCGTAATCATAAAGGCAGCTAGGTTTGCTGTGTAGCTGGCAAGGAACACTAACGCAAACAGGGCCCATACATTCGCTAGGAACCTGCTTGACATACCTCTTGGATTATCGGTTGATACAGATGCTCCAAAAAGCATTGCCCAGATTAGCCAAAAAGAGCGGAACAGTGAAAACTTGTGATCTACAAAAGACAAAAACAGTACAATAGTTTATAGACAATTTCATTATTTTTATTGAAATTCTGTAACAAGAATAGAATAAAACGATTTCAATTTGAAAGTATTACTATTAGGTTGAATATTATGATAAACAGTCATAATTAAAATGAAGGAACATTACTGTGGCTATCAAATGGACTGAATATGTTGAAATCAAATTTATTTAAAAACGCTTTGGTTTGTTTTAGGAAACAAGTACGCTGTTTATCGATCATGTTACAAATCTAAAATTAGCTATGTCTATTGAATCCATGTGTTACGTAATGAGTTAATCAAACATTGACAATATTATACTATTTGACTGATCTATCACTTTATAGAATCCACAGTAGCTTCGGCAATTGTATTATATTATTTATGTAGTCCATTCATAATGTGTTTAATTATCTTTTGTTGTTTGTCTTCAATATAGAGGTATTAACCTATTTTCAGTAATGATATTTCATTTGAATAAGCGAAAGAAAATGATATAAATAATATATTAATATATAAACCCATATGCTAAAAATAAATAAAGTATTGATAGAATCTGAAGACAGCTAAGCTTTTACTGAAGAAATGAACCAATTATTACAAGTCATTAGACCTACCATTTACAACGGATACTTATAATTCTGAAACAAGCTATAGTCATGCTAAGAACCTATAAATTGATTAAGATAATAACCATGCAACAAAAGATATCAAAAATAAATGGGTAAATAAATATCTACTTTATTTTTAAACTATTAGATTAAATAATCAATTGCTCGGGATCAGTTTTCAGTATTTAAATGTCTATCATTATTACCAGCTAGTTCTACATTCCAACAAGACAAAATTTAATAGATAATGTCTAAATAAAGATAAGAGACAAGTCGTTAAATTAGATTGTTTTCTGTTAAGTATTCAAAATTCAAAAGTTTCTACTACATGTAATAACTTTTGCAATGATATGGCAAAAACACACCAAGATTAATAGTTTCAGTATATGTATAAAATGTTCATCGAATTGGTTACGACTGAAATTGATAATGAATCTTAAAGTTGTTCCTTTGTAAAATACAATAATTTTAGTTGGATATTTAGTTTTTCAAGAGAATTTTAATAAAGATAACTCCAAACATGTAAACATAATGATAAAGGTGAAGGAAGCTGTTTTAAATGTATATATTCATCATAATATATTTTAAGTTATTTTTGTACTACATTCAGAAGATTCAATCGAGTTTGCTTTGTAATATCTTCCAAACCTCATTAACGAACTATCCGCGAGCAACTTCCTAAATTTACCTCCTTCAGTTACCTCTCAATGATCGTCGTCCTTTATCGAGACCAGCAGGACTCATCCACTCGAAGATAAAGATCGACGCCCCAGTTGCATGCACACTGAACACAAGAATTAAACACCATGATGGATAATCGTACGGCTCTGAAACAAAACATGACACTGTTGAATACAAAACAGTTGTCAAAATGCATGCCCGCTTTGCCGTACAATGGTTTTGGTGCAAATACACAGTTTCACCCTTCATCAAGCTGCATAGCAAAACAAATTCCTTTCAGTCCTGTTTGTGACCATCATACTTTGTACTCTGTACATGACTATATACTCTAAGTTCCGTGATCATTACAACATGAATAGTACACGGCAACATGCATGAGATATTTGACAACATTTATACGCCTTTTCATCTAACGTACGTACAATTAATTATACTATTTCCGGTTGTGCTTTATAACAATTTTTCTTCTGTATTGATTCGTATTTTTGCTATTTATATGTTGTGTGACTGCACTCTTTTAAACGTTTTTTTTAAGTATTTTGAATACATTTAAGCTTTGTATGTTTGAAGTCAATTATTATAGTTATCTATTAAGTAACGGGAACAGGAAATAGCATAAAAATCATGCTGAATGGTACTAAAGTAATCTAGTTCTAACCATTCATTGACATCTAATAAAATCTGAAAAAGAAAAGAAAACATTCGATTCCAACGTCGATTGAAAATATACACCGAACTATAATGATTGAACTGTGATTGATTATTCACTATGTGAAATTAAGTACGGTGCCTGGACGCTATTTGGCAGCCAAAAACATGTGAAAAGAAATCAACTTGAAGAAATTTAAATGCAGAATAGAATCAAATGTTTTCATATATAGTGTCACAAGTTATGTAATGTACCTCCGTCGAGCGTTAAAGTCCGGTTTAGTCCAGATGAACTGAACCATTCAGATGCAAATATGAAAGACGCCAACACAGGTATGCATAAAAGCATGACTGTGAACCAAGTTGCTATATCAAAGGGCTCTGCAATGAACGTGTGCATGGCAAAATAAATTATCTCGATAGCACTTAAACTACATTAAAATGAAATTGTGCAAGTCGGAAATATATAGCTGAAAGGTAGGACGTTATGTACATAGAAACTTATATTCTCTTTAAAATGTTAATGGCACTATCAAAAATTGATTGCATATATATGGTGACATACTAGTAACAGAATTGAGGCTCTGACTACATCAAGAAATAATCTCACGATTCCTTCAACTGGACACAGACCCAAGGACCTTTAGACCAGCTATCTACTTAAGGAAACCAATACTACAATGTTTTTATGGTATGATCCACCTAATGCATTAGGTATTCAAACAGGCTAGAACTACTGTCAACTGCATTGTAACTGAGGGGCGTGGGTTCAAGCCCCAGAAGAGGCAACTTTTTTTCTTTCTTTGTTTTCCTTTGAACATTATTTGTGTCTCTTTAGATCACTTTTGAGAAGAAAAAAAGTGTTTTATTTTAGTTATGAAATTATCATTGGTATTTATTGGCTAAATTGTGCCAAATTTATTATCAAATATGGTACCTGCTATTTTCAAAGTCTAATAAAATAAAACCTAGACGGTAAAAGTATTTTATATTTGACAAGCGCAACCTATAAACTTTTAAGAAAATTTATGCAAACTTTGAAAATAGCCCCTGATTTGAATAAATTTTAGGGATATTTTAAATAAGGCCCTCCAAGTAGAAAAATGATCAAACAACTATTTTAAACGGGTGGGGTAAGGTAACATTTATATATATATTTCAAACATTTTGAGTAGAAAAAATAATTTTGCTGGGTCATTTGTTAGCTGAATGCTAATTATTTGTTTCTTAAAAATGTTCTATAGGAAAACATTTTTTCATAATGATTATAAAATAGAATATTTAGAGTTTCCCCTTTTGAAAAAGAGCCCTTCTAATAGTCAAGTTTTACTTTAAAAAAATCTCCATAACTCGTAAACCATACGGTAAACTTTGTTTAAATTTTGCATTTTTGTGTCTTTTAAGGTATATTACTGACCTATGTTGTCAATTTTATAGTTCCTTATTGTGCCCATTAGGGGGCTCATACCTTAAATAAATTACTTGAAATTGCAATGCGCCCCTACTGAGAAAGATTACAATAATTTCATTGTTAATCATGCAAACTGTTTTAGTACTGTAAGTAAAGATTTTATTCAGGGCAAATCAATCATTTTCACCCGTCGTGCTTAACTATAATGTATTTCAAAGCGCGAGTTTAAGACAAAACATAGACTTAAACAGACATGCTGCACATTTTTGCGTATATATTTCATCGTTAAGTTATATAACTTCATATATGTTCTGTGATATATGGTAGAAAACAAATCAAATTGTACAAGTTATAGGTTTGTTTGATACTACATACAACACTCTGTCAATTACTTTTATTAATGCATTGTAAAGATTGTAAAGTTTAAATGTATTTCTTATGCACATTTAATGTTATAATTACTATTTGTTTTAACATATATCCTGCTCGAGGAGACAGAGTATAGAGCTAGGCCACCTTGCATATCTGTTAAGTTTTGTCAGGCTTTTTACTGTTGGTAGCCTTAATTTTGTAATTAAAAATTGAGCTCCCTTATACTTTGAAGGACTGTTCCTATTTAAATGCATGTCAAATCCAAAATAAAAATTCGACAGTTAAAAGAAATTGTCGATTGCTTTAATTGGTAATAATTTCATGTCCTTGTACTTAAAACTTAATAAGCGATATTATAACATATTGAATATTTTCGTGACTGATGCTCATTGTTTGTGGGGGTATCGCATTTGCATTAAACTTTATTCAATCCGTCGACCTAGGCGTCTACATGGGAATACAAAGCAGTCGCTACACGAACAACGAAACAAATTGCATGACAATAAGTCATTTGTCACTTACAAATTCAAAATCATGTTGCGAGATTAAAGAATAAGATCATTTAAATCAATGAAATAATGGAATATATAAAATGCATAGTAATGTTTTATTTGAATAAAACGACTTTTACATAAAAAGCGGCAAGTAATCTTAATCTGATATTTTTAAGGTTCATACTTTTGTGTGTATAACATGTTATAAAGAACAACTGCCAAATATATTTAAAGTGTTATATGCCCATGTCAATGGTGGGTTTACAGGTACAAGTCAAAATAACATTAGATTTTGCCTTAATTGTTTTAAATTCTGTAGTCTATTTAAACGTATTGTCAATAACCCACGTGACTGAAAAATCATTCTATAAATATCTTATGACATGTAACGTTAACGTTCAATTGATAAAAAGAGTGGAGCAGTCTTTTTTATATTTTAGGCAGTTGCAACATTTTATCGATCAATAAGCATTATTATAGCCAATCCTTTTAAATATTTACTTAATTAGTCTGTTTTGATCAACTCGACATTGCAAAAAGGGGCATAATGTCACAAGTTCTATGAATACCGGGCGGATATTATTTTTTATTGGTCGGTTCTTTTTTTTAATAAATGAAGAAATGTCTTAAAATGTGTAAACACTTGCCTAAAAATGCTGTGGCGGAAATTGCTCCCTTCCGGAGAGCAACCATTATTGTAATACCAGTTTCCAGAAATGGTGTGGAGAAATCCATTGCAGTCGCTCTCTCGTGGGATATTTTTATTGATGTGATAACCATATCACCCTTTTGTTCAGCCATATCTTTAACCAACCCTGTCCATTCACCATTCTGCAAAAGTAGGGGTAACAAAATAACCTATGAAATGTTTCACAAAAAATGCTCAATATAAAAATTATGTGAAAATTTGTTCAGCAATTAATACATTTATCAAGAGGTGTAGTTCAGTTTATATACATACAGTTTGTTTTGTTAGCAATTGATATTCAAGTAGTTAATGGACGTATTTAACAATCGCGCAAAAGATTGGACAAATGAAAAGGCACAAACATTTCATGTTTTAAGATTTTAAACTCTTCATTATATATGTGCGTAAAAGAAAATTGATAATAATATATAATGCCACTTTAATTTGAAAATAAAAACAGGTTATTCAAATGTTATTTGTGATATCATACTAGGATGTTTCGGTAAAGTAATAAAATTTCGAAAACATAACATACCTCCTGTTTCAGACCCCATTCACCGTCTGATACTTCGTACATTGCGTAGTCAAAACTCATTCGTGTACTTAGTATTTTCAGTAAATCAACACACAAGCCGGTACAGCACCATTCGACTAGACCATCTGTTATAGTTGCATTAGGGCTATTAAAATGAAAAGTTTATTTTCAATTATTATACAAAATGTATGCATATGTTTTATAACGAAACACAACTGCCGACATAGATTGCACCTTTGCAAGATAGTTGAATTATAATATATGCTTCCAATGCAATTATATAAATGTTCCTATTGTATTTTACTGAGTTCTTAATATATGGATGGTACACGGTACATGTCCATTTAGTCTTATCTCAATATGCACAGTATAATTAATATAATGAATAACAAGGCGTTACTTCGAGCGTTCCATTTTTAAATCATATATTAATAAAAGAAAATATTACATGTTCATTTTTAATTGTAAATGTTTCTTAAACCGGTGCTAGGGTGCATGTATAGAAGCACACAGTAACAAACAACATACATTGTGATGAAACGATTCTGCAACAGTTTAAATTGAGCCGTTGTCTGCCGACTTTAAATGTTTCCTTTTCGCACTATTCAAATAGAACACGTATTCAAAAAATCATACGTACTACTGATTTGGCTTCTTTGGATCGTAATTAAGATGGCAAGGGACTGCATGTGGCCCGCATTTGCCTGTCTCTGCTTCTGGTTGCACGTACACTATATACGGTTCCTCTTTAAGTGTTATGATCTTAAAGAATCTTTTATCCGGTTTGCCTTTCGGTGGAAACACAGCATTTCCAGGCCAGACTATTTCATCCATTTCAATCTGCATGTCCATTTTACCCTTTACCATCTTCGGAGATATCGTACCGACCTATAAATTGATTGTAAATGTATTGTACATGCATTGATACTCATTGAATTAAAATTAACACATCAGGCAAACGGGGATCAGTTCTTATGTTTTACATTAACATGATCTATCAATTATAGCAAAATAAAGAACATGACATTAATGCTAACTACATGAACTATATTTCGGCTCTTACTAGGGTAACGTTTTACCGCTTAAGTCCTTTAACGTACAGACAATAACATGTTTCTTGCCACAACAGTTAATGAATAGGATAACTGCAACATTTTAGAGTTTGTGGATGTAAGCGTTCTTACGGATACCGATTCTTTCTTTTCCATCAATAATTATATAACTATTAACTTATGTAACCATTGCTTCATATGCATTTTTCATTGTTTCAATCACGTTAGGTATTTTTCACTTACCGCAGCAAATTCATTCATTCTGTACTTGATATTCATTGGCGAGGTAGGAGGCCGCACATTGTATATTTCAAATTTAACATGTTGTATGACGCCATTGGAACTAAAGGATACCGGTGGGTCTTTAATAACAACGTCCCTCATAGCTCTGAAAAGGTAGGCGTTTTTGAATGTGTTAAAAATGAAGCAAAATAATAAGTCATGTCCAATTGTTAAATTAAATTCTCATATATTTAATTTTTTTATAATCATTGCCATTGTGAAAGTCAGGAACGCCATATCCATTTGTACATTTAATAAAATTTTTAATTAAATAAAAGTGCAACTATTCGTTTTTCTATTTTTTAAAACGATAATCATCCTGCAGATTCGCACTTCTATTTGTTCTATTGTGTAGGAAAGCCTGTCAAGAACAACTTTAACTGACCATAGTAATAAGAGTATGCCACAAGCGTATAGAGTATGCAAATCCGTACAAATGTATATGCTATTTTAACTGACAGTTCGGTGTAAAAAGTCTAATGAAATTTATATATTTACAACTTGTAAACACAAACCCAAGACGAATTATCCGACACAAAAATTAGTTTTCCGAGTTCTCTGACATTATAACCAGTCATGTGATATTATTTTAATGTAAATAATGTACATGTACCTATACATCATGTGTCCATTCTTCCACTCCTCACGACGTGCTACATTGCAACTATGATTAGGATGCATTGCCAATTGCGCAACTTTTGGATCTTTTGCAATCTTTTCTAGTCCTAGAGCCCATATCTTTATAGATGTTTTAATGGCTTCTTCTACCATGGCGTCTGTTTCATTATACATTATACCTATAGATACAATAATATGTATGCAATCACTTATTTTCAATATGTCATTCTGTATTTTAGCAATATAAAATCATTAAAAAAATACGTAACCATGACCTTGTAATAAGGCCGGAGCTTATTAATTCATACATATACAATATTTGAGACAATAAGCAAAAATACATATCCCATATTGTACATACTGTTATTCAGTTATTGATTACACCATTTGTTCATATAGATCTATCCACAATTAAATTGTCGATAGATATGAACAAATGGTGCAATTAATAACTTAATAATAACAATCATGAATTTAGACAAGAGAACAACCCTTTACTCGGCCAAAAAGACTTACATTAACACTTAGATAATTCATATAACTGGAATCCTACCTAGAATACCAACTGGAAATTGTGTTCCCCGTCCGATGCCTCCGATACTTGATGACGTGAGAAGCCACATATACTTTGCTTCTGTAAGTCCGATTTCTTTAGCAGCGTCCATAATGTCCAACGCTTCTGTTTCCCTATAGGAATATAAATATATCATATCGTTTATAAAGTGTTGAATAAAAATGTTATCCAAATTACCAACTTAAGAACATTACTGTTAACAATTATTAAATTGTCATAGTAAAATAATTCCAATAGTGCTCATTGTGCATCTGATGAATGTTAATTTATGAGGTAATTGAATATATAATTATATTAAATTATGAATTATGTCTATTGTATTTGTTTTTAGATTAAAATTGTATATATATAATTTATAATAATAATCTTTATTAATAATATATATCATAATATACAGGTTTTAGCAGAATTAATTAAATAAATTTTAATTATACTTTCCCTGGGTAATTTGGTCCTTGCAATAAATTTTATGAAATGAGGTCCTTATAACATACATACCACCAATACGATATTGTGATTACCACAGCGGCTAAGAACAGTGATTGGAAAAATACCATCTGTGATCCCATCAATAAATATGGATTCTGGTCCTAATACAGTAAGATCTGCACTAACACTTTTGGATAATGCCCTAACAAATATATAGAGGATATTTGTTTTGTTTTTGATTAAATTGAAATATAATTTCCTGAGTGACACAATTGCAATTTGTTACGTATTGAGCAAGCACATCAGTATACCACCTGAATATACAGGGTTTTATGCAGACAAACAATAATAATTTAAAACATATTGAATTTATGTGTACATATGGTAATTCTGGTCCTAATAACATATGTTGAATCTGGTCCTAATGACATATGGTGATTCTAGTCCTTGTAACATATGGTGATTCTGGTCCTAATAACATATTGTGATACTGGTCCTAATAACATATGGTGATTCTAGTCCTAATAACATATGGTGATTCTGGTTCTAATAACAAATTGTGATTCTGGCCCTAATGACATTTTGTGATTTTGGTCCTAAAATATATCGCGATTCCGGTCTAAATAACATATGGCGATTCTGGTCCTAATAACATATGGTGATTCTGGTCCTAATAACATATTGTGATTCTAGTCCTAATGACATTTTGTGATTTTGGTTCTAAAAATATATCGCGATTCCGGTCTTAATAACATATGGTGATTCTAGTCCTAATAACATATGGTGATTCTGGTCCTAATAACATATTGTGATTCTGGTCCTAATAACATATGGTGATTCTGGTCCTAATGCAATTTTGTGAATTTGGTCTTAATAATATATTGCGATTCCGGTCCAAATAACATATTATTAATCTGGTCCTTTCTACAGTGCACTAAAGCACCCCAAAGCAAATGAATACTTTCAACATAATAATGAGCTTGTAACATGAACAATTCAATTAAAAACAAAGTAATATTACTCTGCATGAAGTATAATGACACGTGAGTCAGACTGTTTAACAACCATCAAAGCAGCTTCAATTGACGCCATTCTCTGCATGTAATCATCCATATCGCCAAAATCCGCAGTTACAGATGACAGAATGTTGAATCTGAAATAAATAAATACAGGTTATGTATTTACCGTTCCAAATGAGGTCTTTGGACATAGAAGTAATGGTCTTTGGACATAGAAGTAATGGAAAATGGTGTGGTTTTTTCGAGATGCATATATAACGTTTAATGAAGGTCTAGACCAATAACCTGTGAGCAAATTTTCAGACTTAATATTCCGTTAATTTTTGTTTTGTTTGGTTTATTTTTCCAGAAGAATTATTTTTATAGGAAGTCCAAAATAAGCCAAAAAAGTAAAACACTTTTAAAAATGCTTTAAATTCAAATCAGGTAAGAAATACACAACAAAATGGATTAAATAATTCTGGGTCTATTTTTTTTAAAATTTATGTTGCATTTCTTTTAAACTTTTAAGTGCCCCATTTGATCTGTAGTAAATAACAATTTGATGTTGTAATGGTTTTATGCTATTCGACCAAAAATGTATTTCTTTAATAATGAATGTCTAACATCATTTTGTTTCGGAACTTTCAATTACTAATTTATAGGATATGTGATCAGAAATATTTCCTTGAATATTAGCTTTTTGAGACACATTTTTGTGATAAGTTTGATGATAGGAAGTCAAGATGCAAACAAGTAAGTCCATTTTTGGTTTCTGTCGGATGAGAGATAAATTATCACACACAACATATTTCTCCAATTATCTCAAAGTTCTTTAAAAATGAATATAGAAATGTAACATGGAGTAGGAAACTCTGTAAAACCACAATTGTCAAATTTGTATTACAATTAAATAATACAGAAAACGAATTTCAAACAAGCATTAACAATAATAAGGCGGCATGAAATAAGTAAGGGCAATAAAATGGAAAAGATAGTTTACATTGTATGACTATGACAAGTTCAATTCTTTAAAGCTATTCTATTCGTTTCATTTTTGAAATTCACAATGGCATTGTAAATGTTTTCTTGCCGGCTTATCTGATGGGAAAAATATTTATTGCCCATTTGTGCAGCAGTTGAACACTAACCAGAATGCGTGATAAAATCAGAAAGATAGACCTTCTGTCTTCTGACATGAAATCCCCATTGATCCCTTGCGGAATTCAACTTTTCGATTTTGAAATTTATCAAATTTTGCCAAGAATTCTTGTATGTAAGTTTATGCATGTTTTATGATCACATGGCTTACGTTTTGTTATTTCTTTTCATGCTTACTAATTCATTAACATTTATAGTTATATTTATACTTGTCCTATTGTTTAATTCCTTGACTTCCTATCATCAAACTTATTTTCTTCACAAAAATGTGTCTCAAAAAGCTAATATTCAAGGAAATATTTCTGATCACATATCGTATGACGTGAGTCGCTAAAAGGACAACCTTTTCTTTTTTTAACCCATTACTTGTTGTAACTCGATTTGTATTCGTATAATCTTATTTTCATATCACCTTCTATCGACCTTCCTTTTTTTAAAGCTCTAATGTTTATAGCGTTTGTCTTGGCAATTTTCTAAGGTCCATTGTCGCCTTATGTCTAGCATGTGATCAATATGCTTGGTCTGTAGCATACGCTCAAATGATTTCAATCGTCTCGTAAAACACTGTCAATGTTCCGAAGATAATTTGATATACCACGCAGCAGACAGTTTATAACTGATTTATCACGCTAAACTAACACTGCCTGTGTCAACCTTATAGACATAAACATGTCTCATTTTAACAGATTAACGCTGTATTTGAATACGTATACACATATAAATAACGAATCCAACAGTACATTGTAAATATTTCAGACGTCAGCTGTTAACAATACATGAACGATTTCTTCGTTAGCAGTTTCTATGGGTGTTTTGACTTGGAAGGGTACTTGAAGGTCGAGGTGGAGGTCGCAAAATTAGAATAATTAAACAAATCTAGGGGCAAACGGAAGACGAGAAAACAATAAGAAGGGACACAGAAGTGTCACCATAATAGTACGGATAGCTAGGGAAAAAAGAGAGGCACCGCCTTGGAGCGGCCAGTAACAGAAGCACTATACTTACTTTGCTTTTGTTGTAAATCCTTGTGACACACTAGTTCTTGCTATCATATCTCTCATACAGTTGATAAAATCCACGTGACTAGTTATCTTTGTTGTTACAACAGAAAAGTCTGTCCAATTATAACGATTTAGTATTTTTGATATGGCTTGACATTGATGGTATATAGTTGGGGCAATTTGGAGAACTCTGGAATCTTCATTACTCTGAAAGTAGATTAAATGGAAATAAGTGAATGTTTTGTAACATTTGCATAATATAGGATAATTTTGTTAATAGTTTTTATGCATATACACATATGATGATAGAAAAAGGAGACCTTTGACAAATTTATTCAATTAACAAAATTCATAACAAAGTTCCATGGTAACTTCTTATGAATTTGTTCTTTAAAAAAATATATCAATTCTAAATGTAAAAGAAGCAATAAGCTATCGCCGTTCCCTAGATGTATTTTTGTTTTTTATTCGATAAATACACAATTTACGTGTATGTTTAAATAAATACATTTTTGGAATAAAAAAGAATTATGTGTGCAGTCAACTTTAATATATTACAATTACTCCAACATTCTTATTTATAGTATCTATTTATTGAACATAATTTGTAAATATTGTACTTGGCAGACACTGCTGCTTGTTAAAGATTTCCTATTAGGATATTCGAGATGTTATATCTACTTGAAATCTCGGGAGGATCTTTCCTAGACAGCCAGCCTTTCTGTGGTAAAAGAAACGTGAAGAGTTTCACAAACCGAGACTTTATAGACAAAAAAGACATTAACACTTTAAATCATGTGTAAGAAAAATAAGAGAGACAAGCAGACGATATTCTGATGTTCGTCTAGAGACGATTACCAGAACGCAATTTGTTACTTAGCCTCTAACTTGCCGAAATCCCTCACCTTGGAGTTTGGAACAGTCAATTCAAAGATTACACGGAAGTGTAGGCTAATAGTGACAAAGGCTGAGCAGAGCTTCAAAAGGTAAGAGATTAGGAAGCACAAATGTATTAGTGATAATTCGTTTTCAAGAGGGTCAGCATTGTCAGATGTCCAACATCAGTCCCTTAACTTTGGATATGCTTCAGGATATGCGTTTCAGACGATAAAAAATGCATGTATATACATATTTATAAATAACGATAACTACAAAAAAATAAATAAACTTATTATTAAACAGGTGGAATACGAATAGTAATAAACTCTCAATATGAAGGGCTACAGGAAGAAGAAAAAAGGGGTCTTGCGTAAATGTTGAGCATCATAATTATTGTATCGTACATTTATATGACACATAAACCCATCTGCTTCCTTTATTGTTAAGTTGTCAGTTATACGAATTATCGCTGTAAGCTACCATTTATTATCTGTGGTACATATATATCTGTCAAACAGTTATGGCTCATTGTGTTAATACTGCACTTGGCAAACACAGATGGTGCTATAAAATAACCAATAAAGCGCTGTAACATTGTTTTAAGCATCAGCTACATGTAAATACGATTTTTCTCGATTCATGTAACGGCATATGAAGCCTAATCTTAAGGGACATGAAAACAATAATAATATTAAAATGATGATCAAAATAAAAAGAAAAAGATATAAGATCACGAATTTATTCAACGCTAAGAAAACTCTAAATGCTTAGAATTAAAACAAAGTGTTATGATCTCTGAGTAATAGAAAAACGTACTATTATTTCTAAATAAAATATAGTTAACTTAAAGGCAACTCCTCTAATTAATAATCCAAATGTTCATGGAATGATTTTGTAGATAATATAGTCAAAGTAAGATTTTAATAAGTTAGAACAAGTGGCTGAATCTGACAACATAAACACGGATCTAAGTTATTAGTCGCCGGTAGAAACCGGCGACTATATTTGTAACAGTTTAATATTATACCTATGGTAGGAGAAGGCATTAATTTCTGTAAATAAAAGCATAACAATTACTGAACAATTAAAGACTACAATTGTTTTCAGTAATCTCAAAAATTCAAACATACAATAATGTTGCTCAATGAAATGAAATATTCAAATATTGACATCGTAAAAAGCAACATTACAATTTTTATAAAATGAATTAATGACGTATCCCTATGGATAAGTCATTGAATTTATGGATGTTTTCTCTTTTTTTAAAGTGTCAAGCGTTGCTATTTTATGATAAATAAATCATGCATGATATTTAAAATGAAACTTTTAAATTATCTGGTTGTTTGTATCTTATGAGACCTATTCTATTCTTTATCTTATTTATTATAAACAGTTTCTCCCTGAATCACGTGACTTCACGTTGTATGTTATTGTTATAAAAGCTATTAATAGTAAGAAATGGCTGATAAGACAGACATACAGGTAACTTGTGAATGGTTGGCAGCTGATAAAGTGCAAATCAAAGTAATTTTGTATGAACAATCTCGGTATGACAGTAGGGGCCGGAATCGTATTGGATACAAAGAGAAAACTAATAAACCATCTTTGTGTTGATAGTTTATCGCACTGAAAGGCAATTAAACGTTAACTTTATCGTATGTAACGACAGGAATATTGATTTCAGCTAAATAATATATTTTTTCGATAGTACATAAGAATAATTTTTTTTATGCAGACACCACTTTTACAGTAGAATTGCATTGTTTTATGCATAATTAAGCATATATATTTTCATAGTCACTTTGCAAATATTCGATGGTCGGTAATAATTTGTCGGTAATTATCGGATGCTGAAGAAAACCATACGGATTTCAAATGTATGGTACAACGGTATATGTATAAAGTAGAATTACAAGTAGAATTATAATCATATCACTTGCTTTACAAGCCTCTATGACAAGGTGTTAGATTTTAAGTATGTTTCAAATTGCAGACTGTAGGTTCGATAAAAGGATTTTTTTGTTTTCTTTTATAATACTTTTTTATTTTGCAAAACTTTACCTTTTATCAAAATTATGAAATAAAAAAGTGCTAGAAATGAAACACACGATTTATCAACTTATGTTTCATAAAGTTAAAAGATATTATAAAAATCAATTTATGAAAACTACACACAGGATTTGTCCGAGATTCGAACTTGTTACAACTTCGTCATACTTACCACTAGGCCATCGAGCAGTAATAATTGATATAATTATACATGTAGTTATACTTACAATAAAATTGTTAACAATAATCATAATAAGTTATGTAAGCAAACGAAACAGCTCCCGAAAATGATTGAGTCTCGGGTAAATATTGCCAAACAATACTTGCTTATTTAATAATGATAACAGTTTCTTGACAAAATTGCTAGGCAAGTTTGCTTCAAATATGATGTTTTATTATAACATAACATAAATTTATTGCATAAAACTCTCAGCAAGAAAGATATAATTGTGGCAAGTAAATGAAAACGTGTTTATGAATAAACATTACTCAACATATTGTTCCTCTTTTCTTTATACTTGAACCCTTAAACTGATATTTCCTTATATTTATGACAAAATAATAATTTTTCTATCCGGCGACTTGATGCTTTAGCATCAAAATCTCTACTTGTATATATTTGTCCCAGTTCCCTGTATGTAAACACCAAAACGATGTCCTAAATATAGTTATATAATAACATGTTTATAGACTGTTATCTCGGAAACTCTTCTCGGGAATGCCTTTTGTAATTGATAGATTTGAACTAATCTTGACAACGGAACATGCCGCGTGGAAACATTGATTTATCACAGAAAGTGCACCCATACAATCAAGATAATTCTTTGTCAATGTAAAAGTCTACCGAGCAACAATCCGTGCATGGAGAGATGGCTAATGAGTGTATACAATTGATTACGTCATCCAGACTTAAGTTGTTTCATCTTCAATTATGTGTGGGGGAAATCGGTAAATACCTTGTCAGAATCTCATTAGGAAATAATAATGAACACTTTCTTTGGGGAATTGTGTATCTGTTATAAATACAGGAAGTTTGGCGTGTTTATGGCAAAATAAGATGTGGGAAAGTAAGATTTGAAGATGTAGTAATAACATGTGTCCTGCATTTCTTTGAGTCAGACACTTTATCAAGTTAATGAAGTATTTGCCCGGCTGTTGATATTACCGTTTTACTGAATTTACACTCATTTCCCTATAATAGTAATGTTTTTGAATTTTAGAATGTAAGAAAATATCATTACCATGAGTTTTAAAAAATTTAAAATGTTAAAAATGTGTAATTCTCTTTTTATTTACATCAATTGTTACAAAGCATGCCAAAGCTGACCCATATTAAGTTTGAATACTTTTATTGAACCTCGATTTGGAAGAAATGCTGCTGTTTATTTGAAGAGCTAGAATGTGTTATACCTTCAATGACTGCTCTTTGTCACAGTGACAAGCACGATTGTACACTTTAATTCAACTTTGCTATGTATTCATTAATGATATAATGGATCGTTGTAAATCTGTTATACTAGTTCTTTGCTTGATATGTCGAAATTATGATTTAGATATTGGATTTTTAGGCTATGATAAAAAATGAACAGAACGCACGAATTAGTTTACACGGAAAACGCACACTCGTGTAAAATAAATGCACGGTCATTTCAAGTCCGAATTCGTTTTGACACAAAAATGTATATTTATTGAGTTTACTGATATTAATTCCCATTTCTTTCTGGAAATCTAGTTACATTTAATAGTTCAGTGATATTTTGCACAAACCTTTTATTGACAGAAATGAGACATTTTCATACACAAATATTGAGAAGTTTTCAGACAAATTATATAAACTAGCGCAGGTGTTCTTACATTTATATCTTTTGTACGATATACGAAGCTGGGTAAGCTTAGATCATTCAATTTTCATTTATTTTCGAAATCATTAAGTCTTGCAGATTTGTGGTATTATATAAGATTGAGATAAAGTTAAGGTTCTATTAATTCTGAGTTTTTTGTATTCCTCCTTAGTTTTTTAAGTAATTTCAGCGGGTATTTTCTACTTGTGATTTGGAAATAATAAAATCTTGCCAATACCTTGAGATACAGGCTTCTTATACATGTTATATACATATATAGACGGAAATTCGAATAAAAGCAACAATGAGAACTGAAAGTAAGGCATTTGCGAAAAGGAAACAAGGACGATCAACCTTTTACGGAACGTCAACTTCATATCATCAAGTAACACAATCAACAAATAACATAGGTATAGGACTTGCACCCAGGTTGGCAAA